CGAAATTCAGGGAACACAGTTTAGGAGAGTATGGTATCCTGTGGAGGGCGGGAGCAAGAGAGAGGCAGAGGAAGGAAGCAAAAAAGAGTTAAGGGTTGCAGGGCACCGGTGTTTGTACTGCACAAATGCGGGAATGCTCTGAGACTTTTAGAGGGCAGGGGAAGAACAGAACGACTTGTTGGGGTGAATACTGGATGTGGCACGGCAGAATGTACACATGTCGTTTGCCGGGCCTTTAGGGTGCCACATTAAGCAGGAAATCAAAGACAAGGTTTGGTGGGGGGAATATGAAGACATTTTTTCATTGCTCCCACTGGAGGAGTATATTGATTTAAAAGAGGAGGACCTTAAGGATAGTAAGAAGGAGGAGGAGAAAAGGCACAGGTATCGTAAGATACCTAAGTCTTTCGAAAACTGGTTACGAGCAAGTGTGCTGTGGGAAAAATTCCTTAATCATTACTCCCAGTTTTTTTGCTACTTAGACAGCATTTGGGAGGCTTATCGTACATATGGCAGTTTAGCATGGTGGAAATACAATGAGCAATTTAGACAACGCTTGGCAGCTAATCCAGGGATGCGGTGGGACCAGATGGACCTGCTGCTCCGGCTAAAATTGATGATGGCGCAAATGTCTACGCCCTTTGCAGGAGGGGGGGGCAGCGCAGGAGCTACATCTTCCTCGTCGGCCGTCCAGAAGAAAGGATTCTGTTGGCTTTACAACGAAGGACATTGCAAGTGGGGGGGGAATACTCCGGATGTGCGGGAGCCTACGGCTATCTAAAGTGCTTCACACGAGGTAAGTCTAACAGGGAAGAAGCAGGGGGGCAATTGTGGAACAGCTCTCTTCAGCTGGGGTCAACTCAAGTGAGGCTAGATGCAATGTGGACTTGAGCGGTGATGGGTAACATAGCTTTTCTCGAGTTGTTCCCATTGGTGGTTGCCTTGTCATTATGGGGCAATGAACTGAAAAATAAAAGGGTAGTATTTTTCACGGATAATATTGGCGTAGTTCATGCCATTAACAATTTGTCGGCCTGCTCTGTTCCCGTGGTGCAATTGCCTAGGCATTTGGTGCTGTTGTGCATGTCATGGAACATTGTTTTTAGTGCACGCCACGTGCCTGGTGGCTGATGCGCTGTCTCATTCACAGTGGGGGCGTTTCCGGTTGGAGGCTACAGGTGTACGAAAAAACAGTCAGGAATGTCTGGCTGAGATGTAGCTGCTCGGGGCGTCTTGTATGGAGGACTAATACATCAATCCTTAGCGCCAGGAACATGGGCATCTTATGTCAAAGTATGGAGGGCCTGGGATGAGATTGTAGGGTACACTGGGGGGGGCAGCATTCCAGGGAGTGATGATTAGATTCGCTCGTAGTTTTTGTGTCATCTGTTTGCATAATAGGCATCGCCGTTGGTGGTTGACCAGACCCTGGCGGCACTGACATTTCTTTTCAAATTAAACAGCTGGAAAGACCTGATGAAACTGTTTATTATTAGGCAGGCACTCAAGGGTTTTCGGAAGGGTAAAATTCCAGTAGATAAGAGACGTCTGGTAACTTTTGAGGTCCTGCAGCGATTGGTGGGGGGCGATTGGTGGGGGTGTTACCTTTAGTTTGTTTTTCGTTTTTTAAAGTGGTGTTGTTCACAGTTGCCTTCGTGTGGGCCTTTTTTGGGGCATTTAGGGTTGGAGAGCTGGTTAGTAGGAGTTGTAATATGGCAGGGGGAATTCAGCTAGCGGATGTCTCAGGATAGAGTACGGATTCGTCTGCGACAGTCTAAAACGCACGTGGTCTAAAACGCACGTGCCTGGTCACGCTGTTTTCTCTGAAAGGGTTGGCTTTATGCCCGGTAGCTTGTGCCACTGCATTAATGAAGGATCGCTCTGATGGGGCGGGTTCATTTTTGGTTCACAAGAACGGATCTTCTCTATCGCCTTTCAGTTTATTCCAGTATTTAGATTGGGTTTATGGAGTTTGGGTTTAAACCCCTTAGAATTTAGGACCCACTCCTTCCAGATTGGGACTGCAACAGAAGCATCTCGCCTAGGGCTTGGGGACGAGTTAGTAAAATGTATAGGATGATGGGAATCGCTAAGATTTAGTTTGTACGTTCGTCGTCAGCTGATTTGTTAAAGTGGTTTGGGAAAAAGGTGGGTTTGAATCGCAATGGTCACGTTTTTTTTTCTCTTTACAGGTCAGGTAGCATGGTTGATCGGTCACTCCATCATCTGTTGGGCAAGCAGGAGAGCAGCTGTTCGGAAACAGGGAATGCAGCTGGGTTTCGCCTGTGATGTACTTTCATTGTGTTGGTTAAGTTTTTGGGGTTACAATTGGTCAGGCGTGAACAAAGTCGACCCTCCCACAATATAGTAATACATAGAGGTGGTAGCCTTATTCCCCAACGGGGCTCAGGTGGCTTGAGGTGGTCAAGGCCTGAGCTGTGGCGAGGTTCAGTGAATTTAATAATGTGCAGGCTTAGGTTGAGTGGAAAATACTCACGGGGGTTACAGTGCTTTGGTAGGTTCAAGCTCGTCGGTTGCTCCATACCTGGGGGTGTAAGAGTGTCACGGTATACCCTTATGGTTGGTCATATATTGGAATGCATGCCACTTGGTTGGTGTGTTATGTTTTATGTAATTAAGTACTGTTATATCATGGTTTATATGTTTATGTGTGGGTCATTGCAGGTGGGGGGGAAGGATGTTTAAGTAATGGGTTGGTGGGGGCAATGACCTTATGTTTATAATATAAGTTTTTAATAAAGCTGTGGACAAATATTTCCCAACTTTTAATTGTAGTCTGCGTTTTAATGGGTACGGGTAATAGATTAAGCTGGATATGCCGAGTGAAAAGATGATGAAAAGACGAGGAATCCCAGTGCTTGCAATTTTCACATCAATGAATGATGTTGCACTTTTCACTGCTGTCCTGGCTGCTGGAAAGGATTGCATTGAGTGTCTGTTGTTTCAGATGGGATGGCCTCCTCCTCCTTCGAGGTTTAAGGAAATTCATTCCTCTCCATTGAATCACCTTTTACCAGTTTGCCTAGTTATGGGATATGAGCTTTTCTGTCATTAACGTCATCTGTTGCATTTAACATCATTATAATCAGAATCACTTTGGTCAGCTGTAACGTCACCAACACTGGCTGAACTATTTATTGCTTTAGAAATACAGGATTGACCTTTAATTCCATTTGGACGATTGGGCAACCAAAGAATGCAGTGGTGGAAACCTAAATCACTTGTGTAATAGATCCCCCTGTTCCTTAATACTATGTTTTCATCGACTGATCCGTATATGAACCTAACCGAATGATTGCCTCATCTGGTTCGTATACCGGACTAAGTACTGAACACTTAGACCACCCAGAACTGTCGTGTGCCGCTAGTTGACCCACTTGACCTCCATAACACCTTCCTAAACCACAAACACGTGAACGTTCTAAGTGGTTGGCTGGGTGGCCGACGCTCGTATTGACGAACACGAGGCTGCGCCCATCTTGTTTTGTCGAACACATCCAGCGGTGTTTGGTCGTCGAGTGCATTGAACTATTATCGGACACTCGACGGCACGAACACCACTGAGACTTCACTCACCCCTGTATTCAGCTCTATTTGTCTGAGGAAAGTGGCGCTCTGGGGGAACAAACGCCCAAACAAGAGACACTGGGTGAACGTACGCACGAACAATTTATTCATTTATTTTAATACAAGTAAATGTGGACAAAAAGAAACTGGCCTGGTATAGTGGAAAATAAGGATTGAATAGAGACTGTATACTGGGGTTGCTACCCATAGAATAAATTCCAAACTCACAGCAAATCTCGACTAGTATAAATAAGCCCCCAAATTGGCTTAGAAAATGAAATGAAAAGTAAGAATACTAGGTCCTAAACGTACCAGGAGATAACTTGTGAGAGATGTGGAAGAAGGTGATTATATTAGAGCAGATTATCAATGGTTTATGGATAATGGCTAAAGTAGATACATGTATGGAATATCAGACACTAATTGAGAAAATCAGATATCAGACATTAAAACTGAAATGTCCAGGAAAAGTGCTGCCCTTACTGGTGAAATAGGGCACAGTCAACTAAGTAGTGAAATAAAAAAAGTTTAAAATGTAAAAATGAAAACTAAAAACAATACAAGCAGGATATAAAACTGGACAAAAGAGAAACAGCATCTAGAATGTCACATCAAGGTATAATAAAGTTCAAATTTGATAGATATTCCATCAAACTAAAATCCATATAAAGCCACAGTGGTAAAAGAGATTGTAGCAGTGTCTCTATGTAACTATGTCTTCTTCCACATCTCTCACAAGTTATTCATTTATTTTGTTGGATTTTGTACTTCCGAAAGAGACTGACCGCATGGCCTAATTTCATGGAGCTATCTTGGACAGGCTCCTCTTGTGCGGTCAGTCTAAACTATACCCAGTGGCGTTTCGGCTACATTCGTGGGATCTGAGCTATTTTCGGATATGATGGGCGCTCAGATCCAGGTTATCCGGGGATATAAGACTTAACGGGGTACCTTGTTGTTTACTATATATTTGGGGGTATTTCTGTTATGCGTGTCCTGGACCTGAGAGTTAATATAATTATGTTGTACACTGTGTGCCTGTCCCCTCTCAGGTCCAGTGGGGAATGCCCCTGGAATATGTTACTGTAGACCCCTTGCATGGGGATTCACATAAAAGGCCGAGTGTGGTCCCATTATAATCAGTTCAGCTTTACCCTCAACACAGAGCCTCGTCTCGTGTTTGTAGGGACCAGCTATACCTGCTTCTGTACTGCTTGGATTTATGCTTGGGAATACTTCAGCACTATTCACACTACGGGGAGAGGACACCTTTGGCGGCGGAAACCCCTGCTCTCACGGGGTGGCCGTCACATTTGGTGGCAGCGGTGGGATGGTCCTTCTTTCCCAGAAGAAATGCTGAATTGATGGAGACCCAATATGACAAATTAAAGCGGTTGACTCTGAAAGACTTAATGGAAAGTCGTGGCCGCACCACCAGCAACAGACCACGAAAGGAACTAATTGACAAATTGATGGAATTAGACCAAACAGCTGCAATAGCCAAACCCATTGTCCCGAATACAGGAGAAGATGAAATCCTGTGGTCCATTCGACTGAGGTTGGCATTATATGGGCCAAATCCTAAAACGGAGCTTATTAACCAGGTGTTCATTGCGGTGAGAGAAGAAGACCTGGAGGAAAGGGAAAAAGGGAACATCAGTTGCGGCTAGCTGAGTTACGACAAGCAGGGAATACAGTTGTGACTCCCACGATACCCTCTTCAGAAAAAAAAGTCCCTTTTGCCACATTTAAGGACTTCCCGGAAGCAAAGGGAGAGATAGACGGCTATCTCGCTGATTTTGAGAGACAATGTGCGCTGCAAAAAGTACCATCGGACACCTACTATTTTATCTGGCAAGTTGTCCGGTAGAACTGCTGAAGCCTTCCTGACGAGGAGGTCCATCACTACCCCGCGGTCAAAGAAGCCCTGTTCGTCCGGTATGCAGAAACCCCTGAGGCGTAGCGCCGGAGATTCCGGAAATCTAAGAAGCGAGGAGGGGACTCGTACGCCGAATGGGCATGCCGCCTCCACCGTATGGCATCCCACTGGGTCACCGGATGCCAAGCAGTATCAGGAGAGTATGTGCTGCAATTATTTCTCGTAGAACATTTTTTTAATTCCCTCTAGCCAGAACTCAGAGAATGGATTAGTGACCGGCGACCCCTCACTTTACTCGAAGCTGCTTGCTTAACCGATGAGTATACAGACAGTTGACGAATGGAACAGACCACCGGGAGACCTTCTCTTCACCCAGATTTTTGGGCTCCAGTCCCTTCACCCCGTCCATATTTCAGGGCTCCTGTCCCTCCAGGACCCACTCATTAACAGGAACCCTCTAGGTTCCAACCCAACCATCCCAAGATTCAGTGTCACCACTGCATGGTATGGGGGCATGTACGCAGCAATTGTCCCATGCCTGGGGGCACCCTAAACCTACAGCCCCCTATACCCTGGCTGCCCACTGTTTGGAGACTGAGGCCAACCAGGAGTTATACCTGGGCGTACTCTATGTGGCTAATCCTATACAAGCAGCTACCCAAGACAACCGTCACCGACAAGTTGTACTGGTAGATGGTCAGGAAGCACAAGGATTACTTGACACGGGAGCTACTCTAACCCTCATACAGCGCCACTTGGTCCGAGATAAGGCACACACCAGACAGACGTAGTGGTTCGGGTAGCTGGGGGAGCTTTTTTTTGCCTCCCCACTGCCCAGGTTCACCTGGATTGGGGAGCAGGGTCCGGCACTGTGAATGTGGGGGTAATTGCCGGCTGAAGTACTATTGGGAAATGATTTGGGTCCCCTAACCTCAGCCTGTGCTACTACGGAACCTGCTGAAGCCAATCCAGTTACCACCCGCCTACAAGCCAAAGCTGCCGAAGCCAGTCAACCAGCCTGGGAGACCCAGGTTAGACAATCTTCCCCGACTTAGACTGGGAAACCCCAGGGGAGTTTGGCAGGGAGACCAGGGAAGACCAGTCCCTACACCAGTATAGGGCCAAAGCAGAGACTGAGCAAGGGGAACTGGAGGGAGAAAAGTTAATTTGGAAACAGGATAGACTGTACAGGTTAACTGAGACCCACAAATCAGGAGCCGCCCCATCCCAGAAGCGACAACTAGTAGTTCCCAGAAAATACCGGTTTGAGCTTCTGCGGATTGGGCACGACATACCTCTGGCCAGACACCTGGGAGCACAGCACACATCTCACCAAGTAACCCAGAACTTATTTTGGCCCGGTGTCTCGGGAGATGTGCAACAATACTGCAGGACCTGTGATATGTGTAGGAAAAAGAGGAGACCACCCTAAAGCCCATCTCTCATCTATGCCCATTACTGATGAACCCTTCAGTCTGGTAGCAGTCGACCTTGTAGGTCCACTACCGAAACCCAGTCCATCCGGTAAGAAGTATATCCTTACCGTGGCAGACTAGGCCACCCACTATCCGGAGGCTGTTGCGCTCTCAAATATTCAAGCAGACATCGTAGCCAGTGCACTGGTTGGCATTTTCACCCGGGTAGGGTTTCCAAAATAAATCCTCTCTGACCAGGGGACACAATTTACCGCCAACCTTAACTATCAGTTATGAAAGGTCTGTGGTATTAAACCCCTACTCAGCTCACCCTACCACCCCCAGACTAATGGTCTCTGTGAACATTTTAATGGCACCCTTAAACAAATGTTGAGGACCTTTACTGATGTATACAGAAACTGGGAGCGATTCCTGCCGCACCTCTTATCGCTTATCGAGAGGTACCACAAGAATCCACTGGGTTCTCCCCATTTGAGTTGCTGTATGGTAGAAGGGTGCGAGGCCCCCTTGATCTCATTCGGGAACACTGGGAAGGGGGAATGGAACACGAGGGAACCCCCATAGTGCCATATGTACTGGAACTTCGGGACCATATGGAGCAGTTGGCTCAGATTAGAAAGGCAAATCTCCAGGCGGCCCAGGGGCGACAGAAAGTCTGTTACGATTGGGGAGCTCGCAAACGTACGTTCCAGTTGTGCCAAAAGGTCCTAGTGTTAAAACCCACTAAACAGGATAAGTTGCAGGCGGCATGGCAGGGCCCTTATAGGGTGATGGAACAATTATGGAACACCACCTATATAATTGCCTGTGCTGACAAGAGGATCTGAAGATCCTTTCACGTTAACATGCAAAAGGGATATCAAGAAAGGCAGGAAGACATAGCTGCGATATGTGCCCCAGCCACAGACGACCTCGACAATCTTCCGTTACCTGATCTGTTGGAAAGGGACTCACAGACTGACCTCCTTAGCCAGGTAAAGCTAGGGGACCGGTTATCACCCATAGAGAGGGTTCAGGTCTGCCAGTTACTAGAAGACAAGAGAGAGACCTTCTCTCAAGAACCCTGGCTCACTACATTAGACACTCATAGAGTGGAAACCCCCGGACAAGCGCCACTCAGACAACCCCCTTACCATATTCCTGAGCCGTTTGTCATGTTGCCACATCTCAAGGGGAATGCCGCCGAATACTTACCCTGTCTCCAGGCACCCGCTGGGTCTGCTCATGCCCGGGAATGGACTGGGACTTGGTGGGCACATCTTGTTTTGGCGGCATTCCCACGTGGTAATTGGAATGCTGCCTATCGCTTATCTCCTCCTGCGACTGGGTCTGTTAACATTAGAGACGCCGGCCGCTGCAAGTTAGAACCTTTTAAGGTTTATTATTAACCCTTCTAGTGCCTAACCATTTGGAACGTGTGGGTGATGTCACCCACACACGTTCACTGTCACCTGCTTCCCATGCAGCCAATCAGGGAGCACCTTAGGCTATTTAAACCTTTTTGGTCCATTTCTCTGTGCCCTATCGTGGTTTTCATTCTGGTTATCCGAGAGCAAGTTTTTGGTACTGTTTCTTGTGTATGTTGACCTTGGCTATCCTACTGACAATCCAATCTCTGTATTCCTCAAACTTTGGCTTGTTTAACGGTTTTGTGTATTTTGTATTCTTGTCCTCAGCCTGTTTTCTGTTTTTCCTTTGTGAGCGTAGAAGTGGCATAGTGGTTGATAGAAGATACATCAGGCCTGATTTGCTAAACAGCAACCAGAGAATTTTCAGTTAAATGCCCCAGGGAGAGATGTTAAAGTTTGCAATATACATTGCTGATGCTCTGCAAAACATGGTATGGGTCCCTGGGGCGGAGTATTTGGAGAGCAGGGTGGGCCAATGCTCCAACAGCACTAGTTGCTGTGTAACAGACCAGAATTTGGATCTGACTTAAGAGTTAATTAATTGCCACTCACCTGTAGCTGGTCAGTTAGCAGACAGGCCTTTAAAAGAAGAGGGCAGCCTGCTGCAGGGTGAGGGAGATAACGCCAGCTAGGAGAGTGAATGACAATTGTGTTTATTGCAAAGCTATTTTCTTTTTTTTTGGAAAATTGGTAAGTGGGAAAGCCACCCAATTACAGATAGTAATTTCTGTCTAGTAAGAGCTCAAGTAAGAGCAAGGGATTTTGTTTGTTTATTATTTAAAGCACCTGCTTTCTTATCAAATAAAAAAGGAAAACTGAGCTGAATGTGTCCTGGACTTTGTATACCCTAGAAGGCTGTGGTTACTGCAAGATCTGTGACAATCCTACCTGTAAAAGAGGTGGCCCTGGGGAGATAGCGCAGCTAAGCGGACAAGGGCACATGTAGGAGTGTGGGCATAGATGCAGGGGAGGGACTTGGGAAGTGTGTGTGGCAGGAGTTAGGTTTAATGTAAGTTAGTGTGGGGGAGGTCTTACCTCAGTGCCACTTGGGATTCGGGCCAGCAAACAGCTTCCTGTCCTCCTGCTCCTGTTTGCCTGGGCCTGCAGATTGACACAGCTTGAGGTGATGGATATTGAGGCGATCCGGTCATCCCTCAGGGCTGCTGCTGCGCTGGATGGTGGCCGGCAACTAAGGGAGCAATTTCAGAACATTAGTGGAGGTATGGCTGCCGGTGTGGGCACCCCTGTGGCCTACCCTCCCCTGGAGCACCCCCTGCGGTCTCCCCTGCTGCCTCCCCTGCGGTCCCTGCTCCTGGGGGCCACACCAGCACTGGCAGGCGTTCCCGTCCGCCTGCCAGGCTGTCACCAGACACCACTCCTCGGGCCCGGTTGAGGAGCAGGAGCCCGGGCCCGAGGCATCGCCAGAGCCACGTGTCTTGGGTTTCAGACACGCGGCCTACTGCTGGAGGCCGGAATCTGCGGTCTACTGCGGCCGCGCAGGTGGCATGGCCTTCAGCCACGAGGCCTGCGACCGCCGCGCGGCCTACTCCTCTTCCCCCCTCCACACCATCTGCCCCGGCCACCGGAGGAGGATCGCGGGGCAGTGGGCGGCGTCTACAGTCCTCTGGGTGGCGGGCGGCCGCCTGGCAGCGGTCCAGGTCCCCCGTGGCCGGCGGGGGGGGGTAGGGCGGGGAGTGGGCCCTCGCGGGCCACGCGGGGTACCATGGTACCGCCATTGGGGGTCAGGGGGGGGTCCCCTTGCCCATCGGGAGCCTCCTCTGCCAGTGAGGAAGGCTCCCAGGGCTCTGTCTTCCCTCCTTCCCCTGTTAACTATATTTCTGCTTCCAGGGGGCCCAGCTTATCCTGGGCCCCCAGGTCCCCCCTCCTCTTTTCCAGTGTCCCCTGTCCCCCTCTGGTGGGCCTGTCCCTGCTCTCCCTGCTCCCTG